TTTTTTTTTTTGTAGAACTTATGAAACACATTTTTCAAAGACAATGTAAAGCTATTTCAGCACATTGAAGAATTTGTAAATTCTACAGACGTGTGCAGATATAAAGCTTATTGTTTCTCAAGCAGGTAAATTATTTAAGTGGCATAATACTGGCCATTGTTTGTCTTTGTCTCCCTCTGCTGCAGTGACGGTTTAACAGCAATTTATAGATTTTACCATAGCTTGCCCACAGCCATCAACATTTATTGCTCATTGCAAAGTACGATTTTTTTATAGTCCTGATAATACCAAAAAAAACCCCCCAAAAAACGTTAAGATAGTTATTTTCTCTAGTGACATTACTATTTTCCACAAAATTGTGTCTCTGAGAGTGGTTAGGCCAGCAGTTGTGTTTTCAGTAAAACCGGCACCAGAGGCTTCATAGGCAATTTGTATGCATCATTATATGCATCTCCATAATTACTGTGCCAATAAATACCAATGGAATGGTGATTAACGTGTTAATATTAATTCAGTAGTCATATTTTGATTTCTTAATAAAATCTATATATATATTTTTTTTATCTCAAATGTTTTGAAGACACTTCCAATAACATTCCTTTTGCTTTAACCAGAGTCTGACTGATTATAGATTTTGGTGACTGATGGCAAAGCCAAAACTAATTTTTAGGGAGTACAAAACTCTGATATCAATACACTGCATTTGCTAAAACTTTGAACTTCAGAACTACTAAATATGTTATTAAATATAATACTGCTAACTCTACTAACAGTTGAGATCACTTAGAAATGTCCTTGTTATAATCAAAGCACAAAGGATTGTTCCAAATTACAGCTATGAACCAATGTGATAATAAAATGAGTCATTAATGATTTTGATGGAATACTTATGTAAGCTTAAAGGACAGTTTTCAGCAAAAATGACTGTTATCTCATTATTCTGAGACTTTCATGTTAAAGTATTTTATTTTTAAAATTTATATCACTCGTTCTCAGTCAGTGCATATGATTTGGATTTACTGTAAAAAGTGTGTTGCTTTTCTCTTTGTATGATCC